AGCGGGCAAATCGGACCGCATTTTATATATTCAATAGCCTATTGTCTGCCGACTGGTCGCCCATTGAAGGCCTGAAGAAGGAGAACATTGTTTTACATCAAACCACAAACACAGCTCTGGGCAAACATTTCTCGGGCTTTTATAACTATGCCATTTGGGGCGACCGTAAAATTGTGGACATATGGAAAGTGATGAACACTTTCTGTACGGCCAACGATATGGTGTGTTCGCCGAGTATAGGCCCCGGATATATAGACAGACGTGCGGTGCCGACGAGTGTGGCCGAAATTTTTAATAGAAATAACGGCACGTTTTATGATAACAATTGGAAGTTTGTGGCCGAAGCGCCCAAATCTCATTGGCTGTCCATCACGTCGTTCAACGAATGGCACGAGGGCTCGATGTTAGAGCCCGCCTCCCATAGCCCGCCCTCTGTAATTGATTACCTGTCATATAATGGCGCTTACGGTAAGACTGGCAACGCATCCGAAAATTCATATCTGGAAAGGACTGCCCATTGGATCACAGAATGGGCTAAACGAGTGTAAAATTATTATTTATCATTACAATTACTAATTATTACTATTGATAGTTAATAATAAAAGTTTCACTACAAATTCAATCTTTAATTTAATTATTGTTTAACAATAAAATGTTTTAACAAAATTTCCCAATGTTGCTGAATTTATTTTTAATAGAGAATAATTTAGTAATACAGCAATAAATATAAATAGCCAATGCTCTCAATTCGAGCAAATAATCACATCATGTAATTAACAATACTATGCTTACATAATATTGTATACATTTTAAATTGTTGTCAATTTATTAAATTATTTCAAACATCTCTTGTCCGACACATTCTTCGCAAAACTGTCGCCCGAACCGGCATTTCGTCACAAAATGTATGCCAACATTATGTCCGCGACTATCAGTCAGCAAATTACCGCTGTATTTAATCGTCGCCCGAAAAGCATCGCATAATATACTATCGGTTGTCCGGCGGGACAGTTGTCTGAACTCCGATAACTTAACCAAATTATTCACACGACATCTCAGGCTGGCATCACAGCAAACGGTTTCTAGTGATTGGCTTAAAAGGCACTGCGATTCCGGGCACACGTAGACAACTTGCCCGGTGCTTACATACAGGGCCCATATGGTTGAGCCTTTTGCCCACCATTTGCCCATAATCTCAATGATATCGCCTTCGATTGCGTTTAAAACTTTATAATCAATAAAAGGCAATACATTGATGGGAGGTTCGGGTGCGGCGAGTGTGGGACTGTTACTCTCTATCGACTTCTGTACAATCGATTCGTCGAGTCTGGCGCTGAGTTTCGTGACCAAAAAGTTATGAAAAAACTGGTTATCACTGTAAGTCATGTCTTTAATTTGGTCCAACATCTCACGGATGGTCAGCAATTCGTCTGACGACAAACGCCAGGCGCGCATTCCGGACAGCATTTGGGCACATGTGGGCCTCAAGTAGTACATGGGCGATTGTAACATATCAGAAATTGGTTCCATTAGTTGCAAGTATTTCTTTTTTAAACTCATATGTTTTTCTTTAATTTTATTTTTAAATCTGTAAAATAATAATATATTATTTCAAATTCGATTAACATAAATATAAATCATAATCGCTTTTAAGTGTTACAAAAAACAATGCATACGAATAAGGGCTGACATCAAACATTTCGCAGCAAATGAGTCCCAAACTGTAAATATCAGTCTTTACGTCATAGTTTCTATTGTAAACTACTTCGGGCGCCATATAATTAATGTCCCCTTTAACTCTGGGGTGCGAACTCTGTCCGCTGAATATCAGACGCCTATATGACCGTAGCCTAGCCCAACCTAATCCATTTATTTTAATAAATTGTCCGCCACTATTGGATACGGTATTCATAACCAGTATATTTTCAGGATTGAGGTTCCGGTGTATAATAGGTGTGTCCAAAGTGTGCAAATAGTTGAGGCTTTTGGTCAACTCCTCAAACAATTCATAGGCTATGAAGTAATCAATGAGTGCTAACACATAGACAACACTCGTGTCGTCGACCGAGGGTTGGCTGAAGAGACGGTTTTTGGCGTTTATGACTTCACGCAGATTATGGTCGCAGAACTCGGTCTCGATGTGCAGTCTCTGGCCCTCAATCCATGCGCTCCGGAACTCAACCAAAAAATCACTCCTGATTTGTGACCAACACTGACACTCCCGTATGAAAAGATCGTTGTATTTGGAATCTATCATAATGTGTGCCAAACTTTCAATTAATCATTTATAACCAATTTATGATAGTTGTCATCACTGAATACGGTAACCAAATACATTATACAGTCAATTACCTTTGCTGTCAACTATCTGTGCTGTCAACTAATCGATCATATCAACCGAACTCTAAAACCCAAATACACACCACATAGACATAATGTTAAAATAATCTCTATGCTGTCAACATCTGTGTTGTCAACAATATATCATATCAACACATTTTGTCCTAAAATTTGTGGCATTTATATACATAATTATATCTTTCCTGTCAACCAAAACTAAAACATAAAACGCAAACCAATGCATTATATGCTTAGATCAAACGTTAGTCTTGTATTAAACTGTAAATAAGTTTAAAACACAATACTTTTTACAAAAAGTTGTCTATTATTGTACTAAAAATGCCTGAAAAGCAAAACAAATGATCGATTCAAACAAAATATGAAATAATTCATAAACCAAACAGTGGTTTAATGATAATTTAAATGATATGCAGTCTTTGGATCAACTTTAATTCATCAAAACAATCAAACATTACTGATTATTTTTTTAAAAAGTAAATATTATGTAAATTTCAGCTAATAAATGAATTTTTAATCAATTTTCGTGTATTATCTATGCTATCAACTAATCGATGTTATCAACCAAATCACCGGGAACCGTTCTGTTGACAGCAAAGATAATTGACTGTACAAATAAAATTTTTCATTTACCTCGATGATATATTTTGATAGCATTAATAGTGTTAAACAATTTGTGTTTCATTTTGAATACTTTGGCAAAACAGCCACTGCCTACACTACCTAGCACTTCAAATTCATCAGCACATTTACCCTCGATCACAACGATGTTGTAAACGGTAGGGCCCGCCAATGTGTCACCTCTAGTGTAATTACTTCGTGAGCCGAGTTTAGTTTCAACAAAATTTCTAAAAAAAGTTTGCTCAGAGAAATCAAACGATTGTAATATGTTGTCAATATGAACGTGAATTGCTTTTAGATCATCACTGGACAAACGCCATGCCCTCATTGTTGCCAATATTTTCTCACAGATGGGTCTATCCCAAAAATTGGGCCCGGTCAACATATTGATTATAATTGTACGCCAGCCCTCATATTTGTCTTGCATAAATTCACCATATGACCAAGATGACCTGTTCACATTTATTATTAGTAGCATGTCAATACAGTACTTTAACTTAATATTACTCGCGAATGTCGACTCTAAATAAATCGCAACAAATGCGACCAAGACTGTAGATGTCGGACATCGGGTCGTAATGCTTTTCGTAGACAACTTCGGGTGCCATATAATTAAGAGTACCTAAGTCTAATGTATTTGACTGCTCCTTTTGTTTATAAGGCTTAGCGTAACCAAAGTCACAGATTTTGATAAACTGTCGCCCCTTACCTGACACTGCGTTAAGCACTAGTGTATTATTAGGGTTAAGGTCCCGGTGCATAATAGGCGGGTCTAATGTATGCAAATAATTGAGGCTTTTAGTCAACTCCTCAAACAATTCATATGATATGAAGTAATCGATGAGTGATAGATGTCGGCTAACTTCTGGGCCCCACGCGGAGCCAAAAAGTGTGTTTTTAGCGGCGATTATTGTTTGCAAACTATAGTCGCAAAACTCGGTCTGAATGTGTAGAATTTGGTCGTCAATCCATGCGCTCCGGAACTTAACCACAAAATCGCTGTTCAATTGTGACAAACACTGACACTCGTTTTCAACCGATTTGTTGATTTTGTCGCTGATTGCTATGAATAGTTTAATTATAAATATTTGGTTATTGTTGTACATTTAATCTATTAATTTATCTATTAATAATTATAATAAATTTGATTACTTTTTTTGAATATTTTAATGGCGTGTATATCCTTGTTTAGTTTATTGCGCACTTTAACCACTTTGCCATAACTACCCTCTCCGATATTAGCAAGCCATTCAAATTCACGCGTATATTTACCATCGTCAGTTTCAATAACACAATACATTGTTGCTAGTGTTATGTTTATAAATTATTACTAATAATTAATTTAAGCACTAAAAAATACATATTTATAATATTAGTAATATTATTAAAATTGGATCATTACATTTAATTTATTATAATTATTGTTGTTTATAAATGGATCTCAAATAAAATCATTTGTAACAATAGACATTGTTAATACAATATACATATTGTATGTTAAATAATAATGCGATTAGATTGATGTGAGCATGGTAACTTATCTCGCTTTATATTTTAATATTCATTACATTATATTTCGTTAATTGATAATATTGAGACAATAATGAGTTAAAGTCATGAAAACGATAAGAATTCAATGGTAAATATTTTGAGTTTATCATACATGTTAGTTTAATTATTTATGCAATATGTATGAATATTATTTTTGCACTTTGTATAAATTTATATTGGCCGAGTTTATGTGTGGTTAAAACTCTTGTGTGTTTATTTTATTCATCATAATAATTTAGACAACAATTGAATTTGCAAAGATATTATTTCTTAAAAACTATAAAATTTAATTTACTAGCTTTAATATTAAATTGTAGATACAAATACTAATTAAACATAATTAGTAATTAATTAAACTTTCTATTTTTCAACTTATACTGAAAACGCTTATAAATTAATTAATTCATTTCTTTGTTTAGATAATTGTAACAAAATCAATTGTAAACTCCCGGTGAAGATGTGGGCCCTCACAGCTGTAGGGGTGGGTCGACGTCATAGACAACACCGATTTGTTTGCGGATCGCGTCCTCAATGCGGCTAATAGTGAGCGACGCCTCGCGTGACATAACACTGCTCTCCAATTGACCCGCTTTTAGACACTTTCGCACTTCATTCGCCTCATAGCACAGGCCTGTACTGCCGTACACTGTGGGCACTATCGGCTCCGGGAATGCGAACTCATGTACCTTATCGTTCACATACACCTTCTGACACGCGTGAAAGTTGGCGCCCAACTAAATAACCAAAAACAAACATAATAACAGTTAACTGTACACATACAACTTAATAATGTATAATTATATTAAAATCATATAAAGTACCTTGATGATACCCTTAGTGCCAACAATAGTGGCCTCATTCTCGAGGGTAAGCATAGAGTGGCAGGAAATGGATGCCGTCTTCTGGTTCTTATACTGAAGAGCGGCCGCGAAGTCAAAGTCGACACCGTTTTTGTTGAGATGTCCGACGGCCTCAACCTTTTCGGGCACTTCTCCGCCGAACACCTGCTCCACAATATTGATGGCATAGACGCCGACGTCGAGTACAGTCCCGCCGCCCAACTCTTTGGTCGCCACACGTATGACATCGGCGTTGGGAAAGCCCAGGTTTGCCGTCACGTGTAGGACATCACCGATTGTGCCCTTTGCCAGCTCTTGGAAGGCAAACTCGTACGAGGGTAAAAATCGTGACCATAGTGCTTCCATCGCAAACAGCTTCTTGGATTTGGCCAAAGCGAACAGTTCCTCGTTCTCTACATTCATGATTTTAGTGGCGGGTAATTATAGCGACAGTTGACTGTACTGTTTGTTTTGATTGTTACGTACGTTTAGTATTGATAGTGAGGGGCTTTTCCATCAGTATATGTTTGCCATTTTCCAGCATTAGTTTGGCCGCCGGCAAGTGCTGTGAGTTGACTGTCCCGATGTATACCACCTGAACTTCAGGGTCTTTGGCCAACTCCTCGTAAGAGCCGTACGCTTTGGGTATATCAAAGAGTTTGGCGAATGCCTGGGCGTCGGTCAGCTTCCGGGCGCCCACAGCCACGAACTATATCATAAGGAAAGGGGTTTGCAATGTATTAGTTATACTGTAAGTGTGGGAAAGTGAAGGGGAAGCAACGCCCCGACACAGACCTGATGGTCAGTTGTCTTCATACTCATGACTGAGTCGACAAAGTCGTGGCATATTTTGCCGGCGCTATAAATACCCCATTTTGTGGCCATTATTTCGCTGTCGGCTTACTATTGAATTTCAAATTAACTTTTTTGAAGCAAAACTATTATTTATTTGATTTTTTTCAATGAATGATTTTAATGGTAAGTTTGTATTGCTTTTTATACTTTAAAAATTGTCTGAATATATCAATAGTGGAAATGATTTAAACAAATAATAATGTGTTTATTAATTTGTGTATAATCTATGAGCTAATTGTCTGTTAGATCACTGATATATCAAAATCAAGTGATAATTACCCGGGAATATAATTAATGAACATATTGACAGGTTTAATTAAATATAAAAGTAATTTATCCTCATTATTTTGTCGTATAAATTAGTTTCCAAGTAATCGGGGCTTTATTTCCTATCATTGATAATTATTGTTCAAAAAAGTTTTATTAAATTTTTAATTAATATTTTCTTTTATTTTTCTTGTCATTGAAATGTTTATTTTTTAAAATATTGGCAATTAATTAAGTTATTTATTTATCAAGATGTAATTTTATTATTATTAGCTACATATTTATTTAATGATTTAATAAATAACAAAATTCTTTAAGATAACTTATGTATGAATGACTTATATTAATTAGAATGTTAGATATTTACTGATTGCATAAGAATAAAGTTAATTGTGCTTTGTAAAAATCTTTATTAATAAGGTTTGTTTATGAGCTCATTGGTTAGACTATTATATAAAAATAACAGTTAATAATTACTGTCAATTTTAATTATTTGCTTAATATCAAACCTAAATGAGCAAATTAAAACTTTTGTAACTACCTGTCCGGCTGGTGCCGTCTCCTAGTAATAGGTAAACATAATGTGATAAAACAACTATTGATACAATACTATCAGAAAATCAGAATAAATCAATCAATATGATTTAGAACAATTACGATAATCTAGTTTATATTTTAAAAGTTATTAAAACTTGTAATAATTAAAAATGCATGATAAAAATAACTACTTTTGATACTAATATTCACATTCCTCCACAATAGATGGCTATTGTATCGCATATAGCTTTAGTTATGCAACTTTATTAGAAACCCGTGATAAAAGTAAGTGTAAAACTTTTATCAATCATATACAATTGTTCAAGAATGTGTTAATCAAATAGTAATGTAATACTTAAACTCATACATTGTTTACATAATAATGAATAACCAAATTGTTTAATGAATTATGAATTTGTCACCACTTTTTGCAATCACTTGTGTTCAGTGAATTATGATTAAGACTGTAATACATTTTCATGAGACATATTTTGAGACTCAATAACTGTAAATAAGTCTCAAATATATCAGCGATTGTCTCAAATGAATGACACAATGGATGACAAGAGTGTTAATAGTGTTGCAAAAGTGTTTGCGATCGAAGAGTTGGTGATAAAGATCTTCTCATTCCTCGAGATCCATGAGTTGATACCTCTGGAGAGAGTCTGCAAACAGTTCCAGTTATGCGCCGACTATTGGTTCCGACAGCAGAAGACCCTATCGTTTAACGACAACTGGTGTGAAATCGTTAACTTTAAGCCTAATATCGATACCATTCATAACGGCTATACATTTCCCGCACAATATCTTGAGACCGATTACGAGGGAAAGCCGTGTCTTATGGGAAGCAAAGAGCGGATCGTTTGGTTGGCAAAGAAGTTACCAAACATTGAGTACTTACACAGAGAAAACAACTTAAACATGTATACGTTTTGAATGTGTAAATGTTTTACAAAAAAACATACATATGTTCTATATTTGTAAAACATAAGAATGTTTATTGAAAAAACACTCATATGTTTTGTCACAACCATTTGTTAGTTCACTAGAGTGTGCTATATGTCTATCATAAATGACACGGTGTTTGCACATGCGCACTGAACGGGACAGTTGCAAGTGGGCGCAAAATATGCATTCAAACAAAGGGAGTTACATGTGGTTGCAATGGTGTTGTGTTTACTAAATGACAATTAAAAACACTATAATGTGTTAACTGGTAATTACATTAAACTGATTTCCAAGGTATTTATATAATATGTGAGCTGCAACTGTTCCGTTCGCTTATTAATAGCTATAATAATTTATGTTTTGTTTTCAGCACATGGTATAAACACCACCACAAGTAGTCTATGCTTTGCTTGACCAGTTGATACAATACTTCAAGTAATATATAAATGTTTTATTATTAACCAAATTGTAACTGTTCCGTTCATTTGGTTATATTTAGGCATTGGCTTTGGTATTGACTATAATAAGAAATATAGTTTATTTGTCGATTGAAAGACTACTTAATCTCGATGTTTATATATTGTTGGCTAGTGTTGGTCAGTGATGAACAGAGCAGTTTCAATCACTAAACAAATTGTATTTAAAACCAATAGATTATCTGCCATTAAATTTGTATTTAAATAATGTTTAAAAATAAATATCTACATGTTTTTAAATAAATATCTACATGTTTTCAAATAAATATTTACATGTTTTCAAATAAATATTTACATGTTCTCAAATAAACATCTAAATGTTTTTCAATGAATGGCTGTGTTTTATTTAGTACATACGTATGTTGTAAACAAAACATACAGATATTTTCAATTAAACGTTTGTATGTTTTTTCATAAACATGCAAATGTTGTCACAAATTGTCCCAAAAACAGCACATTCGTATGTTTTCTATGGAATAGCTCTATGTTTTCTTTTTCTCTGTGTAGGTATCGGTCACTTCCACACCGATTACCACACAGTATACGATATTCTCGACTCATTTAAATCAATCAAATGGCTTGAAATGTGTGGTTTGAATCACTTGACGGCTCAACAGTACCGACAATTGGGACAACTCTTGTCGGGAAGAGTGACCAAAATAACGGGCAGTCTTTGTGGCGTCGATTCCGTGAATATGATTGAAATGATACGTGAGATGAAAGGGTTGACAAAATTGGTGGTAATTTTGAGTGCAACTGAAGAATACACGCAATTAATGAAGTGTTTGCCCGAAACGATCCGATCGTTGAGATGTAGATCTAATTACGAGGTTATAGTCGGCAAACAATTTGCGACAAACCTAATGGAAAGTAACGCTAAATATTCGCAGTACTTATATCTGGACAGCAATTACCTAACAGAGGAGGCAATGGATCTAATCATCGCTGGTATGGCATTGAAAGCATTTGCTTATCATTTGGATTCTGCCAACGAATGGCATTATTTGCAACAATTGGCTCAAAAACAGGCAAATCTTGAATACCTTAGTCTTGATTATCAAAAATTTCACGATTTCTATGAGACAAAAAATGCGATACATTTTCCCAAAATGAAAACACTTTCACTCAATTCAAGTGTTTTACGAGAGAAAACATTTGTATCGCTATTGAAATGCTTTCCCGCACTTAAGACACTTGTCTTAAGCCGTGTTTCCATTATCTGTGACGACAAGGAGGACAACGACGACGAAGAATATTCTGTGACATGTTTTCGTCAAATGTTTCATTTGATTGCAAAACACACACCGATTGACACTTTGGGTCTCTATTATGTCGAAAATACAGCCGTTTTGTGTGAGACACTCAATGAGTTCAGCAATTTATCGGCCATTCATTTGAATCGCTATATAAGTGAGAATCCGGAAGAATATGCAAATTCTTGTCAACAATTTATCACTCAATTCATTGATTCCTATTCAAGAGAACCGACGAAAATGATCACAATTTGTGTGAATAATAATACCGAAGAACTCACTATTGATCGACAAATACCAAGATATTTGAAAATCAATAAATGTTTGTATTGACAACAATATAATTGAGTCAAACAGACATCAAAATTAATGTCTTATTTTATAGTATTTGTAAAAGTTTTTTAAAATAATTAAATTTTAACTTCAATTGTATTTCATTACAATGTTTTCAATTCATTAAATGTATGTCATTTTTAATAAAATAATACTTAAAAATCAATTAATACATTTGAAGTTACCCTGAAATTTTTTGCTTAATTAAATATATCATTATTTATAACTAGGGAGAGAGAGAGAGAGAGAGAGAGAGAGAGAGAATAAGTAGAAACTGAATTACATTTGTAATAGGAATTGAAAATTATAACTTTATTATGAAAACTTGTGGAAACATAACAAACACAGCATTTAATACAAATCAACTGAAATACAAAGAAAAAGACAAATAATTGTTTAAAACAAAAACATAACATACGATCGGATAGTCTAAGAGTCGGGGCATTAAAATATAGTTACAATCTCTGGTCCGACACACTCTTCGCAACACTGTTGTCCGAAACGGCATTTTGTCACAAAATGTATGCAAAGATTATGTCCGCAATTATCGGTCGGCAGACAATCTCTGTATTTATTAAACGCTCGGAAAACGTCGGCCAATACACTGTCTGAGGACCGGACGGACAGTTGTCTGGAGTGCGAAAATTTCATCAAATTATTCACTCGACAACTCTTGTTATTATTGAGACAAACGGTATCCAACTTTTGCAACTTTTTACTGATCATAATTACTGTCATGAAATATCTTGATAGCGTGTATAGTTTTATTGAGTTTGTGCCTCACTTTAACCACTTGACCAAAACTGCCCGACCCTATTCTGGCCACAAATTGAAACTCATTGCGATAATTGCCCTCGATCGTCGCAATATTTGCCATGGTTAACAATTTATCACACATTTTGTCAATATTAATTTAACTATTAATTTAATTCTAATGCAATTTATAACTTATAACATTTAATCATCATAAAATTTGAAATATTACAATTAATAATTATAAATTAATTTTGAAAAAGCCATGTTTATTTTATAGTCACAACAGGAGTCCATTAATTGCAATGACAAATGATTACAAAATCTATTGTCAATACAGAGTATGTGTTAAGTAATTGTCTGATAATACGTGTGGAGAATATTTTCTTAACTTCTGTAAGAAGTAATAAAATGCCAAATAAAATATTGTTCACATTCTTATATAACAGATGGCTTTTGTATCGCATATTATGCACATTGAAATACATTATCATTTAAACAAAAGTAAATTAAACTAACATTTTTGTAGT